ACTCACTCTCGAGCCAGGCTCTGATACCAGATGTTAGAAACAAGGCTTCTAACGAGATTGGGATTGGGGAATTTAGCTAGCTCAATTAGGGATTGATCTAACTAGGGATTAGAATTGGGGATTTGGAACAAGAAGAGGGGAGGAGTGGGCAGCTGCTGCCGCAGCTTTGGAGGGAAAGAGAGAGAAGAAGAACACGTAGGAGAGAGGGGAGAGAGAGTAGGATTTAGGTTTTTTGTTCTGTAATTGCTTAATCCCCAAAATAAGACCACCACTACAGTTTATATAACCTGTCTAATTCCTAACTGCCACCCAATTAATAAAACGTAACAATGGACTCCCTGTTTATTCCCCCAAATACCCAAATAATCCCCCAATCATTAAAAACCGACACTAATACGAAATAACCAAAAACTGCAAATAATTGTGTTTGCCACATCAACCAGCGGGTTGACAACCTTGGTCGTAAGATTAGACTGAGATAATATCTTTTATGAAGTATATCAAGTGTTCATCTTGTCCAATTAGTACAAGAATTTTTCCTATTTGGAGAAATAAAAAAAAGGGCCAAAAATATAAATTAGAGCTATAAATGCGGATACATGTTTGGATTGAGGGTCACGTATTCGAAGTACATTTCTTAATCTAAGAAACCACGAAATCAAAACTCCTACAATGTTTAGGTCTTGCCATCAAAGGCGATCTGAGGCTGCAAGTTGATCACGTTCTATTATGACTTATGAGAGAATAGAAAATTCAAAAGGAGAGAATATACAAAAAGTTGAGATTGAAGAAAGACTAATTAAAATGACTCTAATACCATGTAAAACGATGACATAGTACACAAGACCACCTATGTGCTTCGACAAGTGTGCCTTTGTGCACAAGTACATGATTTTTTCCGATGTTTCTCAGCAATGCACTGCTACATTCGTCGATACGTGCACATAGATCTAAACCTAACAGTAATCATCATATTTGGGTCTTCATAAATAACATGTTACAAGATGTTAACCACACATACATATACTCCACATAGCCAAAACTAGCTACGAGAGTCCTTCCAATTTTCTAGCCAAAACATGCTATGAGAGTCCATACATACACATATTCTAGCACTAACTACTTGAGGATGATGATGGATTAGAAACTAAATACTTGATAAAATTAAAGAAATCTTTTTTTTTTTTGTGAAAAGAAAATTATTCTACACCTTGTAGCAAGACTTTCATGCTAAAAAAAACTTCATTTCCAATCAACAAGTTGTAACTAAAAAATTATGATTGTGTATTGACTAATTCAATTAATGGTTGATATTTCTTTAGAAAACCATTGAGTTGCTTTCTATACATAGTGTCTCTACTAGTAGACTCTTAAGGCTGGTATAGCTAGCCACTGGTTTTCTCATTATCATAATTAACATAAAAATAATTATTAGACAATTCAACCAAACATATATACAAAGAGAGGAAGAAGTAATTTCACAAAAGAAAAAGAGGAATTAATGAGGGAGGGGAGTGTTGAAGAGAGGAAAGAAAAAGAGAAAAGAAAAGGGTTTCTTCAAACTCAAAACAATGGATACACAAAGCAACAGTTACTGCTTACCTAATATATTGCTTCCATTTGTAAGAAATGACATATATATAATATGCTACCATGCCATTGACAACTAACTCATCAATCAAAACAGTTATATGTCAATCCTAGCTAGTAATATTGACATTTTTTTTTTTTTTACTCTTTGCACAAGTACGAAGTTATATAGATACTTCATATATCAGAAAGAGTAGGTGACTAAACAATATATCATATCTGATCTGATTTTGAACGACATGATACTCCGAAAATGACAATGAAACGCACTCACTTAGGGATGAATTTACCCTATCATCATAAATTCACAAATAACGAATTTATAACGATCATGAATTTTTTTTTTTTTTTTCTTTCTTCCGTATCAGCCATTCAACAATAGTGAATGGCCAATAGCATGTTACAAACTATGATGTTCCTTAAATTTCCCACTAAGAAATATAAGTTAAAACTTAAAAAAAAAAAAAACAACAAAAATGAACACTGGAGCTGCAGGCTCCTCCTATGTTGGTACGTGACATTGATGTTCCATCGGTTAATCGCTATCTTCTTTCCCACTATATCAACAGAGAAAATTACAAGCCCTATCTGTCTTTCACTTTCATGCATGTATATATATATATACATATACTTTGAAGCAAACATCGTTTTCGCTTCTTCTGCTACACATTATACAAATGTGTCTCTCTCTAGCCTGTGTCTGCGTGTTGTTTCTTCTTTTGATGTTGAATATATATACACGTCGTTTCATCTTTACTCTACTTCATTTTCAGCTAAAAATAAGTGCAGTATATATAAGTGAGAAGTGTAAAAGTATATATGGTAGGGGCTGGCCATGAAATATATACACATACATGTAGGGCAAGCTAGCTAGGCATTAAATTTTGTGGCAGTAGTAACTCCCAATGTGGACATAACAATAAGGAAGCCCTCCAAAAAACTGCCATGGAGTTTACACCAGTATAAACATTTTGTATCCTAATGTCACCTTCTTTTGACCTCTCCTTCTCCCTGTATGTTTAATTTTGTTCCTAAAATGGAGTAACAACCATTGTTCTCAATGCACTTCACACAAAGAGATAAAAGGGGAAACCCTAGCTACCTTTTCTTTTGTTTGAAGCTTTTCCCTGAGTTTAAAGAGATACAGAAGAAGAAGTTAATGAAATATTCTAGTGTCTGTGAAACCGGACTGTATCGGTTGTTCCATTGGCAATCCTCCTATTAAAGGCTAAACCATTGTTGATGAACCTCGGTGTAAAACCCTATCTTACGCCTGAATTTTCCCGGTACGATTTCCGTTTCGGTTTTTTTTTTTTTACAATCATTGTGCGAAATATCTTTGAAATTAAATATAGAGATTCCGGAATATGGTTGCTTTGTCATGTTCATATGTATGGTTATATAGATTGATGAATGTTCTTCTTTTGGGTTTTATTTCTCTCTAGCCTTTCGTTTTCTTCTTTAAAGAAGAGCAGGGTGGGCATAACTTATTATAAGGGAATTACTGCTTCCGCTTCTTCTTGCATTTGTCCCCACAATATTGTTCATATATATGTGGCAGAGTGGCAGCAACGACAGCAGCAGCAGCTGGCCAATATTGTTTTTTTTTTCTTCTTCTTTTTTTCTGGCTTTGATTGAAAGTTACACATCAGATCCAATGCCATGGCTCTCGACTGGATTGTCCACCAAAACAGATTGGTTCCCTCCCTCTAAATTACAAACTATGTATACGGGACCACTCCTTTGGGAAATGATGGATCGGAGTGTGCCTGCCTTTTTCATAATACACAACACAACAACTCCCACCTTCCTACTTAAATGCAAAAACCCTAATGGATATAGAAATAAACCAATACTAGTTTTGGCTATGTGGAGTATATATGAGTGGTTAACATCTTGTATAACATGTTATTTATGAACACCCTAATATGATGATTACTGTTAGGTTTAGATCTATGTGCACGTATCGACGAATGTAGCGGTGCATATTGCTGAGAAACATCAGAAAAAATCATGTATGTGCACCAAGGCACACTTGTCGAAGCACATAGGTGGTCTTGTGTGCTATGTCGTCGTTTTACATGGTATTAGAGTCATTTTAATTAGTCTTTCGTCAATCTATATATGTTCTTTAACTTTTTGTCTTTTCTCTCCTTCTGAATTTTCTATTCTCTCATAAGTAGTCATAATAGAACGTGATCAACTTGCAACCTCGGATCGCCTTTGATGGCAAGACCTAAACATTGTAGGAGTTTTGATTTCGTGGAGTCGATTGGAAATGAAGTTTTTTTTTAGCATGAAAGTCTAGCTACAAGGTGTAGAATAATTTTCTTTTCACACACAAAAAAAAAAGATTTCTTTAATTTCATCAAGTATTTAGTTTCTAATCCATCATCATCCTCAAGTAGTTAGTGCTAGAATACGTGTATGTATGGGTCAGACTCATATGTTCCTAGAGCATAGTATGTTCCACGTACTTCTAGTGAAATATATCTATGTAGATCATGAATTAAATTGAGTTTGGGCCATGATATTATATTCCAACCTCTAATGGAGAAACCCTAAGTTTTGATTCTCTAAACACAAATCCGAAGTCTAATTTAAGAGAACAATAATTGACCGTTGAGATTGGTCGAAGCTCATCATTAAAGTACATCCAACTACCATATCATCTGGAGCATACTATGTTGACCCTTATAATAATATATATGCTATATATATGTAGGCAAGTTTAATATGCTCATATCGGATTATTTAAATAGAAAAAATGGAAAACCTATGCAAATAAGCAACAATACCTCATAGCATTAATATATCGGCATAAAAAGCTCACCATGATATTGAACATGGTCAAACAACGGACCTTAAGATCCTGCTTATAAACACAACGAGCACAAAAGGTAACAGAAAAATCCCTATGAGTCAAACAATCAGCTAACGATTCCCCTCTCTAAACACATCGAAGAGGCTAAACTCCCACTATTTAGATAAAAGGTTTTGAAAGTCTAGCAGAAAATTTGGAAGGAAGGACCAACATATGAGAGAGATCTAGGGAGAAGAAAAGCCAACATTCTTCTATACAATTATAAAAGCAACCTCTCATAATACAAACCGTTTTTTGCTAATTCGACTAATTAATTTAATTACGTGATATAAATACATGTACGTAAATAGGTACTAACCTAATGTTTCTCTCGTTACATCATAACGTATCTCATTTGCCTCTTTTCTTAATAGACCAATTATATATAAATAATTATATTTCCCCCCAAGAAATTATATGGAAACTCATATTTTTTTTTCTAGAGTTTCCACGTAACCTTTTTTTTCCCCCCACATCCTTAACAAAAAAAGAAGAAGAAAAAAAAAAGATTTAATAGGGAACCGATGACTAGCTACTGAGAGCTAGGCTAGCAGTCTCCAAAGTCTCGAATCGAGAACGCGGAGGAGGCCTTCTCCGGCACGTTCCCGGCGTGCCGGAGACCGAGCGTGAGGGACACGTCTCCGCCGGCGGCGGCGGTTGCTCCGGTGGTCCCGTACCTTATTAGGGTATTACCCGCTACGTCAGCAGGCCCGAAGTTCTCATTATCGCCACCCATGGTCATCCCACCAGCACCGTAGCTGGCGTACTCGTGGAAAGCAGGCGGCGGCGGCGGCGCCCCGTCGACGGCGGAGGAAGACATGATCATGGCGGCGGCTTGGCTATCCGAGAAGTAGTGCTGCTGTCTGTTGTTCATGGCGGCGAGGGATGATGAAGATGGAGGGACTACGTCGTCGTTTTCGTCGGGGATTTCAGGTAATCCTTTGACGACCGGCGGCAGGGTCGTCGCGGCGGAGGACGAGATGTTGGACGTTGCGGCGGCGGAAGTAGGGGTGATCGGAGCAGAAGATTGTGTCGTGGTTGGGAGGACTGTTTCCCGATCTTGACTTGTGTCCGCCACGTCATCGTCCTCCTTGGACTCTTGCTGGTACATCTCTTCAATCATTGGTTTCCACAGCCGGACTCTTGCATTGATGAACCAATTGGATACCTAAATGATCACCCACCCAACAAAAATGTTTTTAATATATGTAACTTCATCAAAATATACATATGTGCTTCGATATATTCAATCAAGTATGAACGAACGACGATGATCCGTGGGGTAGCCAGAAATCTTACTGAAGGGTTGATCTGAACTATAATAATTGAAGAGGGGAACTATGACTTACTGATTACTCTATTTTCCAAATCAGTTGCGTATTTTACATGTGTTATTGTACCTATAGTTCAAAGTTCAGTAGGGCTATAGCCCTTCCTGGCAGTCAACCTAGCTACGCCACTAACGATTATGATAAGAGAAATTAAGATCGGCAGTTCACCATCCTTTAGAATGTAGTGGGTTAATATCATTTAGGAAAACGAAGGTATGAGTTTTTACCAAATTCCAATCTAGTTAACACATTATCTTACTCGACTTCGCATCTAGATTAGGATATTTTGAGACGACCCTCTGAACCATCCTTTTCAAACTCGAAAATGTTCACCATCGCGCATCAGACACACGAGATTTCATTCCCGCCCATTATCACTCTATCATTCTTATGATCTAAGCTAACTAATGTATGCACATTGTCTAACAAATGTGCATGAAATGATGAGCCAAGGATAAGAAGAGCAAAGTAAGGTGCAAATGGAGAGTTGGGGACGAAGGAAGTAAAATTGGAGGGGGTAATAGTAGGAATGGCAATGGGGCAGGTTCTGGGCGAGTATCTCAATACCCATACTCGTTCCGTGGCAGGTCGGGTCCAGGTCGAGTAATTTATCATGGGGCGCGAGTCGGGGCAGGTCGACCCAATGAGTATGTAATTTATGAGAAAAACATTAGAAGAAATATTCGTTATTTTCATTAAAAGAGCAAGAAAGAAACCATTATTAGAGATAAAGAAATTGGAGAAATTGAGAAATTGAAAGAAACCATTATATGGTAAAATGTTGTTAAGTTATTGGAGAAATTGAGAGTTTTACTTATTTACAACTTTATTATAGCTAAAATATGATGTAACAAGAGGAAAGTTCTAAATAATTTGACTAATATTACATGTAATTTAGGCAGAAAACGGGTCAAGAATGGGGCAGGTCTAACCTACCTTAAAACAGGCCAAACAGGTTGGGTAAATCGGGTCAGGTCGAAATTGTCAATAGTAAATGATAGTGATGATGAAAGGGTGATAAGTAAGTAGAAGAAACTAGCTAGTGGGATACATACTATAGCAAGGTCGACATGGTTAATGGACAAATGGATGGAGCACAAACCATTTATGAGGGTTGGAGAGCCTGCCTGCCTGACAATGATCAATCGCCTTGTCTATTTATTGTTTGTGCATATCCCCACACTCATGCCTCACACTTATATGTATAGACAAATGCACATAGAAATTTGTGTTCGTTTCTTTCATACAACGAAGGTCTTGGAAAACAACCCACAACCAATGTAGCTACCTAGCTAGACCTAAATTTAATGTGTTTCTCTGCATGTACTTCTCTCTACCTCCATTTATTAACTTCCCTCCTTCTCTTTCTTTTTCATGCAAAATGTACTATAAGTCATGTATAGCCAAGCGTTTTTTATAGGGTGCATGTTCACTCACGTAAGTGAAGCATACTTGATGTAAAAAAAGGATGGAAAAAGGTGATGAAAATGTGAAGCAAGTGCAAAAGGGCAATCAATGAAAGGTAAAAAAAAAAGTAACTACAAGGGACAATAAGGGGTCGTTTTGAGTCCATGTTTACTCCTAGAGTACGTACATGTACTTAAACTAGAGTCCTGATGGAATTTATAAATGAAGATAGAGTAGAATAAGTTTTTGATTCATCTATTAAATTGGTATAGTACATAACAGAATCTAATATTCTGAGTTTGTTTGTTTAGTAATAATGCGAGAATGAGAACATTCATAAGATTTTTGCTAAGTTCGGTCTATTGTATGTTAGAACCCATTTGAACTTCAACGATTACTCGAGTGCTAATGTAAAAAAAAAAAAAAAAAAAAAAGGTCCAAGCCTTGGGCCAATACTTACTCTCATAAACTAAGTTGTGTTCAATACACATGGTCTTAGCCCCCAGAATTCGAAAGTAACGTATAAACTATATCGGTAATTGGAAATTGTATAAATTGATGAGTTTGTATATAGTTATTTAGTGCACAAACATAGAATAAGAAAGCAAATCTGGCCCAGCGGATGGGAACACTACCATTTCTCCAAATAGGTTAAGGGTTTGAAACTTTGCAGATGCATTAGTTGTTATAATTTGCTTTTCAGTTTTATAATTTCTCATCATGTTTCATCTTATTATTTTTTTAATTCCAGGTTTCTTAAGTCTTTTAGTTTCAAAAATAAGTTTTATATGGTTGAATAATAGTTCCCTCAAATCATCTAAAAATAGTGACTATAATATTATTAAATATAGATTTTTATAAATTTTTATCGCCTATTGGAAGTAACATAAAAAAGACCGACCTCTCGAATGTCGAATTCTAGCTCTGCCCCCTGCCTAATGAGTTTGGAGTTTGCATAGCTCAACCATACCATGTGTTTTTAAGACAACAGTTAAGATTGAAAGTCTTGAGGATTTGAACATTTAACCTCGATTACAAACTCGAATACCATGTTGTCATGAACTAACTTGAGTGTTTTGGGATCCGTTGGCTTATGAATGATCATCAACCCAATGGTAAATACGATAAAATCATGCTTGATATGTATACAGTATAGGTTACTATTGGAAGTACACAAAGTCGTTCTCGATTCACTGTCTATTCTTAATTGTTGAGGCTATGAGTGGTTGGCCCGACTCTGTGGTTTTAGACAGAGAGAGAGAGAGAGAATCAAAGCTGCAAACACCCACGTCTAGCTTGGTCTTGGTTTTCCTTTCTTTCTTTCGTTCTTTACTCTGTCTGTCTGTAAGGCAGGCTTTGTCTCTGCCATATATTTTTTGGCTTTTAGTTTCACTCTTCTTCCTCCTCCCCCACCCCACAACCCTATAGGTATCATTGTCTACTGTCTGGTTTCTTTCACTGTATCAGTATTTATATCTCCATTTCCCTCAAAACAAAAATAAAATAACCATTTTGACACAGGGAAATAAAGAGAAAGGGATCTGAAAAAAGGCATCCGATGAAATTAATGAAAAGACGTCCAAGATTTTCTTAACAGGAGGAAAGAAAGGAGACAAAGGCAAGCGAGCCATGAGAGAGTAAACCCCAAATGCATGAAAGTTTCATCTGAAACCCGCAGATTCCACCCCCTGGGTTGTCTTCTTCTAATTATGATTTTGTGTGTAACGTTGTTGTTTAGGGATGAAAATTGAAACCGAGCTAGGGGTATCCAACTCGATCCAACCTGATTAAAGTGGGTAAATTTTAATGTTGACGGGTTTTGGATTGGGTGCGTGTTTTACCCATTAACGAAATTGACGGCTTATATAGTGTTTGGATTTTGTGAAAATTCATCAACTCGCTTTCCACTAGACTCACACTCATAAAGTAAAACAATGTTATTTTGTATCCAACCAGAATAATATGAATAATTTATTGATGTTATTAATCTTTTTATCGCTATCTAAGCCTAAAAATATAGATAATTTATAAATATTAGCAATCTTTATATAGATATATTTATAGGAAAATTTCAATAACCTTACAATATAGGTGTTTGAAGAATTACGTATGGTTATATTCGTTAACGCATGGGTACCCATGCACCCGTGACTTCCCTTTGAGTTGGGTTTTCAATTATAAAACCCAACGATATAATGGTATGACCACTAGACAGAACCCTTGATCACAAAATCCACCCGGTATTTTACCAGTATTTTTTTTACTGGGGGCACCGGTTGTGTTGCGTTGGGTTAAGATTTAAAAAAATCCAACCCAACTCATTGTCATCCCTATCCCTAGTAGTACTTCTAGGTTAGATATTAGCTACAAGCCAATAATACGAAAATCATGTAACCCATGATCTTGATGTTATCTAAAGAAAAAAAATGTCATCATCTAACGATCAGGGGATCACTAGATTGTAGGGTAGCATGATCAGTAGATACCATACATATATCGGAGCTGGATGCATGCGGCAGCATAAAATCCAAGAGTCCAAGTGAAACAGTAAAAACATACGGACAGTGAAAACGAAAGGAGAAAGCTTTTTTTCTGGCGTAAATATGTAAAGCATGTAATACATAAGGGAAAAAAAAAGGGGGGGGGGAGCAAAGGAAGGAGAGGGACAACTGACCTGATTTCTCGATAAACCAGTCTGTCGAGCTAACAGATGCTTATCTGCGTCGCTTGGATACCTGAGAAAGAGACCACCAGCCCAGCTCTTCCTTTTTAGTACAAATAAGAACAAATGCAATACGTATATATATATTACACTAACAATAACAAATATTATTATTATTACTATTGGCACCCTTTATATGCAGAAATTTTTACCCATCAGCAGCTTGGTTGGCCTAAAGAAAAGAAAAGTCAGTTTCTTTCTAAAGCTCTGATACCCAACCCGTACGTATAAAGATAAAAGAGAGAAAACCACACACAACAAGAGGCACAACTTTACTGTGCTTTTCCTTGTTCTTCGCCCTTCTTTCTTTAAATGATAATGCAAGAAGAAAAAATAAATAAAAAGTTGCATTAGGGTTTTGTTTTTCTTTTCTTTCTAGTAATACTGGCCTGGTCTCTGCATGGGCGTTAGAATCTAAGAAGAGAAAAGCAAAGGAAAGTAGAGAGATAGAAATGATCAGTTCAGCAGAGCATGCCAGTTTTTTTTTTCCCCCCCCCAGCAAAGGGCAGCAGTAGGCCAGCCATGGCGGCCCAGTTGTTTTTGCTGCCCCTCATTCATGATCACCATATCCCCTTTTGATGAACCCAACCCTATTACCTCAACTAGCTATACACGGTGCATACTTCGATGCCCGAGAAAATCATTTTCTCGGCACAGAATTACAACACGTCGTGTGCTCAATCGTTGAATACAGGCGATAACATTTAAGATTGCTAGACTAAATTTTCATAAAATGAACATGCACATCGAGAAAATTTAATAATGTCGAAATCCTACTAGTTCAAATAAATTATCAACGATTAAAAGAGTATGATTAGACGTACATTTATCATGACGATATTCGAGTAAAGGAGGGGAAAAAGTGTGTGGAGTTGTTGGCAGGAAATGGAGGGCTCTTAGTTCTTACTTACACCTTTTTGTTGTTTTCTATAGGGCGATGAGACAACAATCAAGGACACTACTGAAATTACTGCATGCTCTGCTGCCTGCACTTCCTTTACATTCAAACAGTTCTACAAATTTTTTTTTTCTTTTTTCGTTTTCTCTTCTTGTTAAAAGGTATCTATCTCAGTAAAAAAAAGAAAAAGGTATCCATCTCTCTCTCTCTCTCTCTTTCTCTCTCTGCCTTAGCCACTACGTACACCGAAGCGAAGGCAGCAGCCAGCCAGCCAGCCACACAGGTCCAAACCCGTAAGCTTGGGATCTTGTGACACGATAAGCCAAAAGAAAATAAAGAAGAACGCAAAACAGTCGTACGTTACTGAAACAGAAGGCTTTAATCATATGTGACATCACCAGACAAAATATAAACCCATTTTTAACCCAAACAGAAGCTTGCCTACTAATGGACAAAGAGTTTAATTATTTGATCGATCTTAAACTCTGATTAATTTACTATGTCGACCATCGATACTTCTGAGACAGCCGTATATATATATATCAACCGTCTAACTACACAACGAAACTACAACCCCCTTTTCATACAACCTAGCAACCAACGCAAAATACATTAATCTAATAACCCTCCTATATGTTTCCTTTTAATTTGGGCTAATGCATGACATTTGTATATAAGAAAATTTCAACAAATACCTCTATCGTATTATATATTTTATTTCTCGGGTCAAAAACTTTCATCTTACTGTAATCTATTACTATATTTAGTAAACACGTCATTCATAACACATTTTAAGAATTTCGTTGGTTGATATTTGTCAATACGTCTCTTATGTATCGTCATATATCTTCACACGCTAACTAAACATTAGATCATCCTAGGCGGGGTTAAAAAAAATCGAAGAAACAATTTAGTACATTAACAAGTTTGTTCAAAAATCATAGCACGCATGCAAAGTCACTCGTTAAAACAACACAATCGCATCTATATATGGACCCAAAAACGCCATTGTCAAGTGTTAACCCTAATTAAACTCTCTTACTCAATTATTGAAGGAAACTCCTTTTTTTTCCCCCCCAACGACTGAGCAGCGAACATCACAAAAACGTCGCAAATTAATCCTAATAACTAATCAGATGGTAAAAGCCGAACTAACTGCCTACAGGCTACAGTTAATGCAAAACAAAGATAGAGAGGGTTGAAAATTTAAAGGAGCAGAAGAAAAGGTAATTAAAGTGCAATTAATCAAAGGGGGAAGAAGAGAGACGTAAACGTACGGGTGAAGGAAGTGCTCGAAGAGCCAGGCGCGGAGGATGTTGACGGATCGCTCCGGCAACCCTCTCTGCGGCCGCCACGCTTCCTGCTCCATCATCCCCATCTGGTGGAACGCCCGCTGCTGCCTCAGGCTCTGCTCCAGCGCCCTCAGCCGCGGCGTTTCCCCTCTCGTGATCCCGCCCGCGGCGCCGGCACCGCCGGCGGCGTCCTTCTCGCCCAGCAGCTCGCATGTCTGCCTGAGCTGGGCCGCGATCGCGTCCTTCAGGCACCTGAAGTGACGCGACATGGCCTTCTGGGCTAGGGCCGTGTACGGGACCGCGGCCCCGAACCCCATCACCAGGTCGAACGAGTTCACCACCATCTGCATCTGCTCGCAGTAGTGGTTGTACCTTCTGTCCACCTGCAGTAAATCAAATCAAATCAATTCAAACCACATTATTATTATGTCATTAATCACACGATGAAATGATAATTCAGTAAGATATATAATGGGTTTTCCTCACTTGACCTTTGTTACATCAATCATCAAAAAATGTGACAATATGATAGATATGTAGGTTTGCTTTCACTTATGTTAATGTGTCACAACAACATCTTCATCTCATGCACAAATAATCAGGGATAGTTAAATTTATTATATTCTTTTATATGAATGATTTCACTAGTTCAAGTTCTTGTTCGCAATTAAATCGTATTAGCGTAAAGGAAAAAAAAAAGAGTATTTTGGTGATGAGAGTCCTTCACAAAAGGGGAAAAGACGGAAGCTACCTACATGGGGCTGGTTGGTCCCAGGTCAACATAGACCTGGTAAAGAATATGAAATGATCAAAGTATATGATGATGATGATGCTTTTACTACTACTATTTTCCGTCTGTAAAAATTCACTGCAAAACAATTATTACTATGATGGGATATAAATGTGGGTGGCAGAAGGCAAGCTTCATAATAAGCTTTTCAATACGTATAAAAAAAAAAAAAAAAGAGAGGATGGTGGTGGTGGCTTCAAGTTAATGGCCAGGATGGGATGCGCTTCCCTATCCATCTTCCCAATCAGGAGCAACGTCCTCATCTTCCTCCTACCATCCCCTTAGTAATTGTCCCCTTTTAGTACCCCCAATTTCTTTTCTTTTAATTTTTTTTTTCATATCTTTTATATATATTTAATTTTATTTCCTCACCAAACCCCTCGAAAATATAATTTTTTTAATAAATTAAAGAAAAATGAATTAAAAAGGAAATAATCCCTCCAGAAATCTCTACCCATATTACATCCCCACCAATCCAACAGTGTCAAAGGCTCATAATTCCCCCCCTTATATTATACTGAAGCAAGCAACAGTATTAGTTTAGTAATAGAGTGGTTTAGATATAATATATAATAATAACAAATATTTGATGCTGATTATGACGGCTAATCCTACCACTATACTCCTACTCTACACTCTACTCTAAACAACTAGCTAGATCCTATATGTCAGTGTACGCCTTATTGCACCTGCTGCCGGCTTTCTACCATTAATTAATTAACTAATTAATTAATCACTTATTCATCAAATTCAAAACCTTCCCATTTGTTCTTAATGATTGGACCAATCCAGGAACCGGAAATCAAAATCGTGAAACTCCACCAAATGGCAGCTTAATTCCTGAAAATCAATGGAGGATTCTAGCAAATTTGAATAATATTAATAATTGGAAGGGAGAAGAAGAAGAAGGAGGAGGTAGAAGAAGTAGCCTAGAGAGAGAGAGAGAGAGAGAGAAATGCGGACATGCCTCATCAAGCATGGAGACGAGTTTGACCTTCCGCCTCTGATGCTCCATCCGATCGGAAGACGACAACGGCGGAGGGGGAGCCGGCGATTCCTTGGTCGTCGGAGTGCTCGACGAACCACCACCACCACCGCCGTTGTTGGTGCTGTTGTTGGAATTGAGCCTGGACAATTTGATCTTCTTGAACTGCCCTCTCCCGACGCTGCAGAATTCCTCCAGCAATTCCGCCGCCGCCTTAACGTACTTGGAGCTACGCAGCACGTTTACCACCCCTAGACCGGAGCCGAACCCCCCGATTTGACTCACCTGATTCTGCTGATGTAGATGCAATGCTTGTTGCTGCTGTTGCTGGTGGTGTTGGTGGCCGATGGTTTTGTAGTAGTGAGCGGCGGCGGCGGCGGAGGAAGAGGCGGCGGGGATGGCGGAATGTTGGTGATTGTAGTATAGCAATCCGCCGCCGTCGCCAATTCGCAATTCCTCCGCCTTGGCGGCTTCCAGGTGCTGTAGCGACGAGGATAAGGAGAGGGAGAGCCCCTGTCCTTCAACCACGCCGCTAATTTCGGAGGGGTTGGAGTCTGGCACCCACGAGAATTGCGTGGGGTGCGTTTGAATTGAGGGCGGCGCGTAGCCGTCCGGGAGGAGCATGTGGAGAGTGGATGGTGGTGGTGGTTGGGATGGGGACGGGGATCGCGGCGGCGGATTGGAGAGGAAGAGCTGCATGGCGGCCGCGGCCGCCGCCGAATCCGCGTTAATTGTCGACGGAATCTGGTGGTGGTGGTGGTGGAAATCGGTGCCGTCGTTGTCGTCGTTGCGGTTGTGACTCTGATTGTTGTGGTGATGATGTTGATGATGATGATTTTCCTTCGAAGAAGAATCTCCGCCGCCGCTGTACCAGTCGTTGGCGGCGGGATGGTGGTGGTGGTCTAGCAAGTCGACAGCGGTGGGGACGGGAGGTCCGCCGCCGCTGGGAGCGAAATTGAACATCTCGGACAACATCCCCGTTGTTTCACACACCTGTTGCGGTTGTTGATGGTGATGAAACCCTCCTTCCGCGGCGGCGGATTCCTCCTCCTCCCCGTCGATTCCAACCAGCGACGGCGGGGGAGGATACTCGGCTTGAACTCGAAGCTTATCTCTCCTCATCTGCTGCGCCATGTGTTGCTGCTGCTGCTCTTGAACTCTGTCGAATCCGTTGGAAGCAGAGAAAGAGAAGAAACCTCCTCCTCCGCCTCCTCCTCCTCCTCCTCCTCCTCCATCTCCGCCTCCGTCGTTGCCCTGGTGGTGGTGGTGGTGGTAATCCTGTGACATAGAATTGGAATTGTACTGCTTGTGATGAGAATTGGGGGTGACGATCGGAGAATTGGACGAGAGCTGAGCCTGATTCGCTATTCCCATATCATCGGCTCGGTCCCGATCATGGCTGGCCGGGGGAAAGGGGAATTTCAGACTGCCGGCCGGTGGAGTTTGTGAGAGATGGGAACAGAGAGATATATATGTGTGTGGGGGGAAAGACGAAGGGAGGAGAGGAACGACACGTCGTTTTCCGTCACTGGAAGAGAAAAGCAGGTTAGCTGCGAAGAATTACTATCACCCACACACAACAAACACTTTCGCTCTCAAATGGGGAAAATCCCCTCTGCAATTTTTTTTTTTGTTGGATCTTGATCTTGAGAGCTTGCGCCCTTCTCTCTCTGTCTGTCTCTCCCTTTCTTTCCCTTTCTCTCTTTTCTTTTTTTGAGCTTATGAATCTCTCGGTAGAGCGATGGTGTGGATGTGTGATATTGATACTGGAGATAGATAGATGAGGAGGGAGGGGAAGGGGGGAAGGAGATGGGGGACGGGAGAGAGAAATGGGGAAAAAGGTTTTTATAATGTGGAAAAAAGAAAGGAAATTTAAAATTAAATTAAATATGGGTGTGGCCAGGTCATTTTCGTATAAATTATTATTATTATTTGCGGAAAATGGAGGTAATAAGACAAACGTACGTAGGGCACTAAATTACAATGGGAAGGGGGAGGTGAGATAATCATTTGCTAATTATGATTTCATAATAATTATGCCTCTCCATCCAGGGTAATCATCTAAAAGAGATCGTGATTAGTTAATTAAATCTATCTTTTTTTGGAGTGATTAAAAACAGATAACAGTCCAGTAAATGAGTGACACGAAAAGATAAAAGGGAAGGTGTCGTTGTTCTGCTTTCTTTTCCATCCTTTTCCTTTTTCCACTGTCCACAAAACAAAAAACAAATTAAATAAATACAAAAGTGGGGCAATACATTTTTTAGGGTTCATGGGGTGGTGGTGGTTTATGTAATTTTCTCATGATTAGTATGATTGAGCGTTTCTATTCGTTTACAGAGACGCCCAACTGAAACATTAATAATGACAAAACAGGGCAACTGTTCACCTTCACAAGTTTTCTCCTTCTGCAAAACAATGGGGAGGTGAGTAAGAAGAGAGAGACTTGTAATTAATTTCCCACCACTAATACTATTTTGCCGGTAAACAAGGACTTGAGTTGCAATGGTATAACTGAAATTTGTTCGTAGAATTGACAGGTTGGATGACCTCCCGCCGAAAAAATGGTGTATTTTCGGTCGTGGTTAGCAATATTGCATGTTTTGCGATTTGCGGGTTAACCGCAACCGAACAACCTGTAACCGCATTTTAACTTATTACTGACGCGGTTACCTCCGGTTAACCGCGGTTATTGCGTTTAACCGTGACACAGTGACACAACCATAGACCAAAATGTCCCCAAACCATAAGAATGTTTAGTAATGCAGTTAACCGCACTTTGCGGTTAGTGGTTAACCGAAAACCATTTCCGGTGCGGTTGCGGTTGGTGTATATGGCTAGGTTTCAGTTGCGGTTAACTGCAAATTTCGATGCGGTTAATCGCAACCACACTGATTCCCAGCCCTACCTCACGGTTCCCTCACACTCCCTCCAGCGTAAGGGTAATTTCGTCCTTTCGTAGCCTCTTGGGTGCTAATTTGCACACGAAATATTTGTGGTGACTTGAATCATATGACAAGGGGGATTTAAAAGACTAATTTGACGCAAATTTTCTCAAATACAAATACTAATCTAAACTAGTATCTATTTAGACTAATTTGGCCCAGCTTGTAGGTTCATTGTGAGCTTAGTCTAAATAGAAATTAGTAATCCAATTTGACAGTTAACCCACGAGTTGGATTAGATTAATTTAAATAGACATTAGTTCAGGTCAGGATAGAAATTCTGGGCGAAATTAGTATTCTAGTGTAACGTTCAACCCATTTTTAGGTATTAACCCTTTAGGTTTTCTGGTATGTGTTGGAAACTTGGAATGTTTGCAGTGTGCTTTTTGTATGAGTATGGTATAGATCCATAATACCTTCTTCCAACAGCTCGAGTTATTGGAACCAACTAGTTTATGACATGGTATTAGAGCCTGGTTTGTACTTGAGGTCACATGTTCAAGTCATGACGACCCATAATATTAACCAATGTCTTCAAGCACATGGTATGGTGGGCCTGTGCAAAGTTGGCTTTCGTTTGGATCAACTGGTTCTTGACATGGTATAAGAGTCTTCCATGATCGAGAGATCTTATGTTGGAATCCTGATGACCCCCATTTGTGAAGCACATGGTATTCATGTGTTCAGGCCTGTGCAAGGTTCAAGCCCTTGTGAGTGGCTTTCATTTGAGGGGCATGTCAGTGTGTGATATAAGATCCATTATGGATGTGGTGTGCTTTTGGATGTGTTTAGTTTATGCATTAGGATGTTAATGAGTACTTTATAAGTATTGTGGTGTGTTATTATTTTTGTTTCTATTAGAAAGTTTTGGTTTGCATTAGGCAGGTACTCTTATGTGCTTTAGGAATAGTTGTGGTTTGCTTTGTGATTATTTTTGTTTCAGAAGTTTTGTGGTCTGCTTTGTGAAATTGTTTGTTTGCTTTAGGAGTTTTGTTGTATGTTATCTTGAGTTTCTGGTGTGGTTAGTTCCATCTTCTTTCTTGTGTTATTTATGATGTTCATTCATGGTTTGGATTATTAATAACTCGAATCGAATTTGTAAACAAATGAAATGTAATGCATACACAAACGATTTACGTAGTTTCTAGTGTTGCGGGATGCAATACCGACTAGTTCACGACAAGTAGTCTATGGTATTAGGATGATCAATACGTGCAGTTTACATACGTCCTCCGACAGCTAAAGTCCCAGGGTACGAGATGGTCTAGCTATGGGCTCTCGATCTATTACACTAAATGGGCCAAAATATACATTGGGTAAGCTACAATATATATCCGCCCCGAAATTGATGCGGATCTCAGAGCATCAATTTTCTAGACATATAACAATGACGTGAGGTAGTGAAGGCCTTCGCATAGATATCAGCCACATGTTCAGCAGTAGGAATATAGTGTAAACAAACATCCCCATCATGAACCAAATCACTAATGTAGTGTATGTGAACATCAATATACTCCGTCCAATCGTGTAACATGGGATTGGTTGCAATATGAATTGCAATGGGATTGTCCATGAATAAATTCATAGCTTTCGTACACTTGACACCAAAATAACCAAGCAATCGATGAAGCTAGACCAGCTCAGAAGCTACATGGGGCGTTAGCCCAATACTCCTCTTTGGTAGAACTCTTAGACACCTTATCCCACTTCTTGCACCGGCAAGAAACAAAGGTTCCTCCATATTAGATACACCACCATGTCGTAGAGTGACATGTAGCAATGCAGCTAATGTAATCAGAGTTAGAATAAGCACACACAGTATCATCCTGTTCAGAAGGAGAAAAAAAACCCATTGTATCGTCTCCATGAAGATAGAAAAGTACTCTGTGTGCAGCCTGTAACTAGGAATCACAAGGTGAGTACATTACCTGACTAAGAATATGCACTGCGTAAGATATGGCAGGTTAAGTATGTGTAAGGTAGTTTAAACTACCCACAAGACTACATTATCTCTGCCCATTTCAGAGTAGTTCACCAGTGTCTTTACCAAAATTAACGTTTAACTCCATAGGGGTCAAGACTGGACAACAATTTCTAAATCATGCGGTTTCATGGATATCGTTGATATATTTCTGTTTACTAAGTAGAATGCCATGAGAAGAGCGAGTTACGTCCAGAACCAAAAAAATAAGAAAGAGACCCAAGCTGCTTTAAACAGAAGGAAGATCACAACCCAGCTATTAGTTACCGAATCCCAACATGGTCATCACTTTTTACCACCATATTTTAAACATGTAACAATAATACAATTAAGTACGAGAAAAGGCCGAGTGAAAAGGGATGGATCATTCAAACTCTGTTACATGCCCAACTCGACAATGGTGCTATGAAATTTATCGAAACAGGCACATGGTGCCTGCTTGAGCCCGCGGAGTGAAATTGAAGAAGACAAATATCATCAGATGAACTATATGAATACCCTGGAGGGAGCTCCATGTATAGAACCTCCTTTAGGTCACCATACATAAACACATTTTCACATCGAGCTGATATAGAGGCTAATTTTGGGATGTAGCCGCGCCAAGAGCGTACGAACGGTAGGCGTTTTAACTAAAGGAGTAAAAGTCTCATCATAGTCACCGTTATACTCTTGAATGAACTATTGAGCAACCAACCGACTCTTGTAATGATCAATACTACCATCCGACTTGGCTTTGATAGTAAACACCCATCGATTACCGATAATAGGAACAACTGAAGGGGGAGGAGGCACAACGGTCCACATATCATTCGCATGTTAAGCACCCAATTATACCTTCATGGCTACATCCCACTGCGGAATTCCTTGCATCTACTGATAACTAGAGGAACAAATACAGAATCCACTCTATAGACAACACTGTCACATAGTCGAACTGGAAGCTGACCAAGGATGCTAGGGAGAGAAAGATGAGGAGTTGGAGGAACCGGTGGTGGTGACGGAGGAGGAGAGTCATTGCTGGATGATGAATTTAGTTCATGCGGAGGTGAGTTGGGGGAGGATGGGGAGTAGCAACACATTATCAAGCTCATCATTCTTAGAAAAGGATGTAAGTGTTGCAAACGAAAAACAAGGAAGGAGACGAATGACTACACGACGAGTGAAACATAACATGTTCAAATAAAATGACATCACAGGAGATACGAAGACGTTGGGAGAGGTGATCAAATCAATGGTACCTCTTGTGGACATCATTGTACCCTAGAAGGACACAACGGGAAATCTTGGACGACAACTTGTGATGATCCTTTCGAGGATGAAGCACAAAAATAGGCAACCTAAAATACCGAGGCAAGAATAGGTAGGATGTTTCTGATAAAGAGAAAAGAAAAGTCTCGTGTGACTAAGGACAAAAGTAATTTTATAATTGATCAAACGCACTGTTGCAGCAACAGTTTCAGGCCAAAAACAAAACAGGACATTAGGGGGATAACAATAGGGCTTGGGTGAGTTGTAAGACCTGTATGTTCTTACGATCCACCACGCCATTCTGCTACGACACACCTGAGCAAGCTTTATGGGGCAAGATACCTAATGATCGAAAGTGAGATTTAAGATGGTTGGAACTAGTTCCCCTCCTTCATCCAACCTAATGATCTAAACAGAATGGCTAAATTACATTCGCACCATTTTTAGGAAATCGGTGGGACAGAAATTAAGTAAGATTTGAGCTTCAAAAAGTACACTCAAGTAACGTGTAGCATGATCAATGATAGAGAAAAATATCGATAACCATGGCGTGAGGTAATAGGACTCGGGCCCCAAAGATCAGTATTTATGAGCTGAGAAGGTTCACTAATAATCGTAGTACTAGACGTGAAGGTGCTACAAGTTTTTTAGCCTATACACAACTAGTACATAAAAAACGAGCTAAACCATTTAGCGAAACATCACCAAATAACTTATGTTTACCGCCGTAGTAAGTCGACTAAATTGAGGGTAACCTAAACGCGAATGCCAAAATCCAAATTTTAACCATTAATGCTCGAAAAAATCTACGGAGAATGAAAAGCAGACAAGATCTAGACACAGACGAAAGACTCGAATGATCTGATAATGGAGCTGATAATTCTTCTAAGTAAAAAAAATTTGTCCTTGTTTACTGCCCTGTTGATCTGCCTCCATGTCTTAATACGACAACCAATTAAGCAAACTAATGTTGAATTGGTTTGGTTAATTGGTTAACCAGGCTAACCAGTATAACATAAAATTATTTAGAAAAATATGATGTTAATGTCAATATTATGAGATTAATGAATTGAGTGTGTCTGTGTGAATTGTCTTAGTCTCTTAGCAATAATTAGAGGCTAAAAACTCCTTCTCTTTGAGTTGTTCATTCAGCATGATATAGAGTTTTATTTTAATTAGTTGTCCTTATGTTGGTGTCTACACTATACAAGAAAATATAAATATGAAAAGTGAGATTTCGTTAGTCCAGAATTGAGGTATGCTTGACTCTTGAGTGTTTATGAGCATTTAGTACGGATATATAATGTATTAGATATATAACTAATTGCTTAATTTGTGAATTGGTTTGATTGGTTAGGAGTGTATAAAATCAAAGTAAAAAAACTAAAAATTATAATCTAACCAAACCAATTATCCAAATTAACCAAACTAAGTTATCCAAATATGACACTTAAGATGGTAACCAATCCATTTGAAGATCCCAACTCACAGGACACTTATCCGTTGTAGAATAGAGCCAAATTTACTTGGCCCTAAGGCCAGGAACGTATTTCCCTAGGAATGTATAAGCCAAATTTGAAGCGATGTACGATTCTAATGAAGAAGAGATCGGGTTTAGGAGGTTGAGGTGCCTTCGATTTTGCAGAAATTAAGAGTTTTAAAAGTAAAGCGATGTATGAAAGTAAATCTATGGTTGCTGGATGAGTGAGAGATCAGAGAAGGAAGCCCTTGTTCGTTACGCAACTAAGGAACTTACCCAGCCATGGGGAGGGGTTCCTGTGTTTTCATTGATTGAAACAAAGACACCAGAAACCGGTCCAGGGGCGTTGTTTTGGTGGCTTTTCTCCCTCATAGGTTGGTCTCGTTCTAATTCATGAGGGTCGTTCTGTCGGCAGAGTAACAACCCTTCATTGATCTCTTGTCTCCTCTCCCTTAATTCCCATCTCTATGAACATATTTTTAGGCCTTTGATTAGACTTTCTAAGGAGTCAAACTCGCAGTTTTAACATCATTCAGCCAATCAGGATGCTCCAAATATGTGGCCAGCAAATCAGAAGGTTTCAAGATGACTTCCTGACAAAGTGGTTTGCATTTGTAAAATGGTGCCATTGCTGTCGTTCGTCTCCATCAAAATGGTGCTTCGGGTACCATTTCTACCAAGTGTCATGTCTTTAATCCCAGCTCCAGCAACTTGATCTCGATGTCCCCTAGGACTTCCAAGTGGTCCACTAGTATGCTTTGACCTGAAAATGCACAAAATGTTACAATAAGTGTATCAATCGTAAAAAAGCAATCCTAGGGTTTCTAGAACACACTTGAAGCAATCATAGCATAAATTCAAGGTATGCACTTACGTGTCATTGGGTACCATCCAATTTGTATGTAAGATGAGATGGCCGTATATTGTTCTAGATACATACCAAATGGATCCATTGCGAGAGTGTGGGTGAGGTTTGGGCCATCCCATGTTTTGAAAATCTTCCATCAACATAATAGAGGGTATGGGTCTTTAGAGTTTCCGTTAGGAATGAACAGGAGAATTAGTTAGTAATAAGCGGGGCTAAATTTACTTGGCCCTAAAGTCAGGATCGTATTTCACTAGGGTCTTTCACAACCATTAAATCAAGTGGCGAGGTGATGAGTTCTATTATTTTAAAATGAATGTCCAGTTTAAGGTGTCTCAGAGGTTGAAGTGCCCCTTGGTTAAGAGAAAACTAAACGAAAATTAATGCAAAAAGGAAAACTACGCTACTGGCTGGTGAAGAAAGCAGGAGGGGCGTGACGTTGCATAGACAAGCTCACCCTAGAGTTTCTTGACTCGTATCTCGATCTTGGAAGTGTATATGTTGCTTGATCTTTATGTAATTTGATCTTACCTTGCAATGAAGCTTCATACCTCGATCTCATAGGCTACAAGGACCCTACGGATGTCTCCCTTGAGGTGTCCCACTAGTTGATTGAACGATGATCGATCATATAGAATTGAAGTTTCCGGTGTTGTTTTATGCTAATAAGATTTCGATAATAGCACCACAAAAGGATGCAAGATCGACTTGGGCATTTATTCATTTCAACAAAAAAGTACATAAAAAGTTCAAATGCAAAAACTGGGAAGAATAACATCAATCAAATTAGGAAAAAAATTGAGAATACATTGTCAAGAACCTCTAGGGGTTTCCTACCTACACAACTTGGGAACTAGCCATCCACGGGGATGCGTTTCTAGGAGAAATCAATAAAAAACCAAAATTCCCAGACAACCTAAAAAAAGGGGTGCCATAATTGATAAATTAACGATTAGGCTGCTGATTATGGTGTCATATTTTTCTTTATGGTCGGTTAGCTCTAAGTTGAGTGAGTCACTCTGTGGGCAGAGGAACGACCCTCTAATGCCTCCAATCACTGGATACCAAACTCCCCTAGAAGTCTATTTATTCCAAAAAAAGTCCATTAGGATTTCTCGAGAGGGGAACTTGGCCTTCATGGGTCTTCTGAGCTTCCATGAAGCTTCCCAAACGTAGCCACCACGCCAATATGAAAATGGATGCCTTTCTGATGATTTATGTACGCCCTCACAAATGGTGCCATAGATGCTTTTTTGTGATATGGACTGCTATTTTCGGCAGCATTTGATTGCTTCGCACCAATCTCGATTTAGGCTCATAGTAGTTGATGCTTGATTTCCCCAACACGTCTAAAGCGGTCCACTAGGTTTTTACGTCATGGAAACACGTGAAACACTACCAAGAGTGCAACAAATTGATAAAAGCAATCCTAGTGCTACTAGAACGCACTTTGAGTGATCGCATAGCAAATCCAAGATATTATGTCGATAACATAAATGAAAATCATGACGTTCTAGACATAATATGGGAGATCTAAAAAAGTACTTTTCATGTGTCATCACATGCTTGTTGAAATGCTTCAGTGCATTTTGCTTTAATTACACAAGCCATGGAATGCTTCTTAGTCTTGGATATAATACTGACAACGATTGCAACAGCTTGATCGTGAATATTGATATTTGTCATAGAGTAGAGTAGCACTAAGGATGCAGACTTCCCGATGAATAGAGTTGTAAAGTTGAAGAAAAAAACTTGGGAATCAATAATTGAAGTAACACCAGTTTGATTTATGAGAGATGTCATGTGCTTCCAAACATTTATTGTGTGCTCAATGAGATTTGTGGTGTGCTTTATGACATTGTGGTGTGGCTTAGTAGATTTTTGGTGTATTTTATGAGAAATGTGGTATGTTTCTGGACATTTGTGGTCAGGTTTCTAGTATGAAATGTGGGATATTGTGGTTCACTTTTGATATATTTTAAAGTACGTTTAGTATGCGTTGTGGTGTTTCTGGTATGGTTTAAACTGTTTCTTGTATGTATTTAGGAACTAATGATGTGTATACATTCAATTGATTTTGGCGTTCATACCCTAATTTCTGATTTGCATTTGACATCAAATACGCAAGCTACAAACAATTGAAAATATTTATAGAGGAATACGAGTATAGAGGAGAGTAATTCTAGTTTGTTCTATATGTGGTATCGAAACTGATTGTATCACGTAAGCAATTATAGTCTTTTTTTCAAACCAATGATAGCTTGCATTATCAAGAATAACAAAGATAAAACGTTTAAACTCCGAACATGGCCAAGCGCAAAAATCAATACTGCTCAAAGTAAGCGGAGACAATGAGAGGGCCTTTCTAGCCCCGACATGGGCTAACCTATTGTTCTGTTTGTCTACAAAGTGCACAGTGAAACCCAACTTGTCCCGAAGTAGCCATTGTACTTCCTGCAAAATAGCCACGCCAAGCACGTCGTTAAACACCCCTGCCCTGACTTTGTTTATGATCCCCTTCGCATCACCCGCCAGACACGTTGCTGTAAACTTTACTCCGACACACAACCAAATTGATTCTCGCAATGCCACCAAATCCACCATAGCCGCCTCTTGCACACCTTTGAGCCATTCGCCTTTTGCTCCGATTTCCGCGCCAATCTCATCACAAAGCACTATTCCCATGGTCGACCGCTCGCCTACCCTTACCGCCCAATCAAAGTAGCATACAAGGCCCGGAGGCAACTATGCGACACCCTGATTTCGCAAGGACGGCTTGTCATCATCTCCTGGTAGGACAGGTCCAGCTTGTAAATTTGCTAACCACTCTGTGACTTAAGCTTGAAACTGGGCCACCAACACAGAAATTAACACCTGCTTATACTCAAACGACCCAATTTCATGCCTTCCAAATCCACCAAAGGAGGGCCACAATCCTTACAACTTTCTCCGGCGCCCCATCTTCCTCCAAGAGTCTTCGGAGAAAGATGCCAATATGATGTGTCGGATAGAGTTCCAAAGACTGCCGCAAGCCTACTACTTCCCACAAAGCTACTGCAACCGGACAAAGCCGCAGCAAGTGTTCTAACTTCTCCTCCCCCGCCCAACAAACCAGACACGTAGCAAGACCTGAACCTTCTTCGAAATCACTTGCTCAGTGGTGGGCAAGATACGACGAAATAATTGCTGCGACATAGATTTTTCGAAGAAACCCAATGAATCCGAGTTGGCCCTTCCTGAGCTCCCCACCAGAAGCATGCCAAATGTTTATCCAACATGCAACACAGCGAAAACGAGAGCTTAAAACATGACATCACATCTACCTTTCAAAATTAGCAAAAACGAGAGCTTAAAATCATCTATCTTTGGCCCCCGAATAAACGCGTTCTGCCCCGGTGAAACGATGGTTGGAAGGGGAATTGCCAGTCTCTAAATCAGGAATTTTGTAATTACCTAGTATACGAACTGATAAAGGCTTATAGGCCTCAACTGGCGAATATCCTCCACCACATCTACCTTGGGGATCAACTTAAGCCACGTATGATTGAAACTTCACAAAATGCGGCCATTCACAAAGAACGATCACACAACCTCAATCAGCGTCACTCCGATAATATCCCAATAAGCCCGCAAAAATTTCCCTTTGAAACCATCTGATCTCGGGGCCTGAGTCACACCTATAGAGAATACCACCTTCCTGATCTCCTCCGAGGAAACCTCGACGGTCAACTCATTATTCATCTGATCTGTGACCTGGAGATCAATAGGGAGTGCAGCCCCCATGTCCTTGATATCCACGATACTCTACTCAGTTGCGAAAAGATGCTTGTAAAAATCAATCGCTACATGCTCCTTTTGATCCTCCCCAGTCACCCATTCCCCCTCCTTGTTACGCAAACAGTCGACAAAATTTCTCTTTCGACGAGCCTTAGTAACAGTATGAAAGTAGGATGAGTTCTTATCAAACTTCATAAGCCATCAGACACGAGATTTTTGTTGCAAAAAGATCTCTTCCGCTGCCCACTGCCTATTTAATTCTGCCTCCGACTCGCGGATCTTATCCCAATTGGTGGGTTTTTCTGCCTGAACATCATCCATTTCTGTTTGCAAAGTCCAGATATTAAGTGTCGAGTTAGAAGTCCCTGCCCGGCTCCAATCATATAGGAGCCGTTGTAAATGTTTCAGTCGAGTCCAAAGACGGAACATGGGCGACCCACTCACCTCCTGGTCCCAAACATATTTGACCATTAGTCGAACTTCCGGGTTATCTGCCCATCGAGCATTAAACCGAAAGAGCAGCCAAAAATTCTGTTGGAAAGGCTTATCTGCAACCAACAGGACCCGGTGATCCGAGCCTTGATCCGTGCAATGCTTTACTAGCGTATCCAGGAATTTTTCGACCCATAGAGCAGAGCCAAAAGCTCTGTCCAATCTTTCTTTCACGCACGGTGAACTCAACCTTCTGTTGGTCCACTTAAATGGGTAACCGTCATACCCAAGGTCATGAAGAACTAAATCATTCACGAAATTACGAAGCACCAAAGATTGATCGGGTACCCAAGGATTACCCC